ATATATATTAGTTGCGTATATATATATTAGTTCTATATATATTAGTTGCCCAATTAATTTCTATTTATAGTAGAGACGGGGTCTCACCCTTGCTCAGGCTGGTTTTGAACTCCTGAGCGATCCTCCTGCCTCGGCCTCCCAGAGTGCTAGGATTACAGGCATGAGCCACCGGGCCTGGCCTTGTTTGACTTTGTACACCACGTGCATGTATATCATTGAATAAATGAGAAACTATGTTTTGAAAAAAGTAAATCTATCATATGTAAAGTCACCACCCCCAGCTGCCATTCCAGTCTCAAGATACCCTTTAACAATGATATCCTTCCAATCTTTCTCTATACCTTATATATGTACTATTTTTGTTTGTATGTGATACATAAATAGTATCATCTTGTAGATATATTTCATCGACTAGCTATTTTCACTTAATGTTATATTTTGGCATCTACTAGAATCGATTTTGTGATAGGTCTGTAGACTTTCTCTACAAATTCTGAATAAAGAAATTATTACACCCTTGTGAGACCAATTTTTATTACTAGGACTTGAATCTCATTTATGTAGTTGATTGAAATCAAAATATTATCTTTGAATATATCCCCTAGGGAAGACAATATCTTTGATCTTGAGTTTTCTACGGGATGCATTTTTGGAACATTTTCTTTGGGGTGTTGGAGGGAAAGCAGTTTAAGTCAGTATGATTCGACAGGATTCATTTCCAGCATCCTGCATGACTTCTTGCGGTCGGCTTGTCCTTTAAGTGGCTGCTCCTGGAATTTCCCCGCCCTCTTTCCTCAACATGCTGAATGTCCCACTGCCCTGAAGAGCAACTTCATCACTTGACGGGTGGATTAAATGTAGTCACCTAAAGCCTAAAATCTGCATTACTTTCATCTCAATTCAGAATGAATTTCGATAATTAAATTGAGAAAAACATGGCTTGTGATCCTAGAATGGATTTTTAGGTCCCAGTTCATAAGTGGAATGAATTTATAAAAAGTGTTACTGCATCTTATTTTGTAATAATGTCCTCAAGTGAGGGGCACACACGTGGGGCTTAGGGTAGGGCGCGTGGTGGGGAAGTTTTATGGTGTTTGTCAGGAGTGAGAGTCATCATCACACTTGGGCTGTCTTAATACTGCTTTATCACTGTTTAGGGTTTAGGGTTTAAGATTAGGGTTATCAGGGTTTAGAATCCTCAGTATCAGAGTAAGTCACATTTAGGTCCAGGAAAGCCCCTGAGTAATGTCTATCACTGTTCTCATGTCATTAGGATTATTAGGGTAAAGGCATCCAATCATTAAGAAGAGAGATGTAGGGTTAGGGCTCTGGTCAGGGTGTGGGGCTGCTCCAAGCTCACCTACAGAATTTAGAGTTCAGGGTGCTTAGTTTAGGGTAATTAGGCTTTAGGGTTGTCAGTGTTGGGGGTCAGGGTTGAAACTATACATGAATTTATTGTCATTTGAAATTCAGGGTCTTCTGGTTCAGCATTAGTAGGGTCCCCGAGTCAGGGTTAAAGACAAGGTGCATAAACAGAGCCCTGCTCTTTGGGGCATAGACGTTGCATCATTGGGGTGTGGGGTAATCAGGGTCAGGGCAGGTCAAGGCCAAGGTGTCTGTCTGCTCCAGTGCCTGTTAGGGTTTAGGATCATTGACTCATTGATGTCAAGGCCACTGGAGTTGTTAGCATTAATATTGTTGCCAGGGAAAGCTGGGCTCATTAGACTTAGACACCTTTGAAACTACTTAAGATCATTTTGGGTTTAGGATAATTTTGAATCAATTAGAATTGTTTATGATAGGGCATTTTAAGTACGTTTAGGATCTCGTGGATATTAGGGTCTTTCAGCGTATTGAGGTTTAGAATCATTTAAAGTAAATTTGAATATGGAACTTTTAGGTTGAACAATACATTACGTTTCTTAAATATGTCCCTTACCTTTAGAATCTTTTCTTGGGATCATTTTGGATTCAAGGCTTTTTATAGCCCCAGACATTCAATCTTTTGCTATGCGTGGGAGTTCTCATTGGCGGTTTGTTCCCCAAATTATACCCCAGACATCTCTGAGATGTAATTACTTTCCATTAGCAAGACGTACCCACGCTGTCCTGTTTCTTCTGTCCCAATGTTTGGCACCATCTACCCTCTCAGAAGCCTGCGGCTCTCTCAGTGAAGAATATTGCAAAATTCCCAAATCTGGGTGCTGCTGGGTGCTTGCACAGGCATGAGTAGGGGGCACTAGGTGCAGCTTAGAGGGGCTCAGTGACCAGCAGGAACATTCAAAGTCACTGAGTTGTAGGGGTTCCTTATACAGTTTGCATTTTAACCCCTTATCAGATATATGGTTTGCAAATATCTTCTCCATTTCCATAGATTGTCTTTTGATATTGTTGATTGCTTCCTTTGCTGTGTAGGAGCTTTTTAGTTTGATGTCATCCCATTTGTTTATTTTTGCTTTTTTGCCTGTGTTTTTGGTGTCATAGCCAAAAAATCAGGGTACAAACTTTTAGGTATATGATGCATAAGTTCTAGAGATCTAATGTGCAGTGTGGTAACTATAGTTAATAGTACTATATAAAGAGAGTAGGTCTTAAATGTCATCACTACACACAAACACATATACACACACAAAGCAGTAACTGTGTGGTAATAAGTGTGCTAAATAATGTAATGCTGGTAATCATTTCACAATGACTATGTATATCAAATCATCAGGTTGTACACCTTGAATATATACCGTTTTATTTGTCAATTATACCACAGTAAAACTGGAAAATTAGATAATCTTAAATTAAAAAATACAAAAATAAAAACCAAAGTCATGAGTTAATGCAATGGGTCCAATTTTAAAACTCCAGTAAGAAAAATGGATCTTGCTCTAATGCAAGAACAATTAAATTAGTGTTAGCAAAATATTGATATATAAAATATCCATATTATATTTTGCATTCTGCCAAAATGTGTGTTTAGATTTCACATCTATCCTAACAACATTTAAATTCCAACTTATGTCCAGTCCTGAGTTTGTGATAGCAAAAAAAAAAAAAAAGAAAAGAAAAGATAAGAAAAGTCCAACTTATGGCTGCTGCTTAAAAACTTCTCATTAAAATTATGATAAAACTGCTTTTTGGGCAACACGTGGGGTGATCATATTTATCATCCACACTGGGACATTTTGAGTGGAAGAAAATGCTGTCAATAATTACAGTAGAATAACAGGAAAAACTGTTATTCTACCAACCAAACCAAGACTCATGGTCCCTACCAATGGGCCAGCAGTTTTAAAACTTCTAAATTTAACTAATATACTTGTAAAATATATACTTATAATTCATTACTTATATAAAGTTAACTTACATACTTATATAACTTATAAATAATAAGTCATAATTCTTATTTTACATGGTTTTACAATGAAAGTAGCAATGTCAATTTTACTCATGTTCAATTTTCAGTAGAGTTTGCTTACATTTAAACATTCCAGCAAACTATTAGAATGCATTCAAAACTTCACAGTAAAGTCTTGTACTCACAGCAAACTCCATTCAGTAATAATTTTATTATCTAAAATAGACAATATCAAATTATTTCATAAAATCTGCTTCCATTAAGCGAGCCAAGACCTGCTGGCTCCTTTGGCAGACGGCAATTATTAGAATTTGTTGGGTGATCTTAGACACTCTAGCTTCTCTAAGGCTTACTGCCTGATTGGGGGTCTTCTCGAGACTCCCAAAGGAGCCATTTATGTTCTGTCTGTGTCACCTACATCCACATGACGGGCAGTACAAAAGTCTCACTGCCTTGGAAGGGTTAACTGACTGATCATCTATTTCACCCAACATAGTTAAGGCAGCAACCAAAGACCTATCACTTTGGACTACAAACACTAAATATACGAAGTGGAAGCAACACTCAAAGGGAAATGTGGTTCATTTAAACTTTTCTCTCCCGCTTTCTTCTTTTGTATCTATATGCACTGTTTGGGAAGGCATCATTAAAAATCTTGCCTTGGCTGTTAGCTTCCTCTAGAGGCCAAATTATTATGGTCATTATTCATGCTTCATGCCAGGTTTCCTAGGATGACAACTGTCATCACATATTGGACTTTATGAACCAACCACATCACCTGTCTATACTAGTCAGGGTTCTCCAGAGAAACAAAAACAGAATAGGATGTGTACGTGTGTGTGTGTGTGTGTGTGTGTGTTTGTATAGAAAGAGAAAGAGAGAATTTATTTTAAGGAATTGACTCACCTGATTAAAGTTGCAGTTTGAGCCCAAAGGCAGGCTGGAGGCAGAATTCCCTCTTCCTTGGGAACCCCAGTCTTTAAGGCTTTCAACTGATTGGATAAGGCCCACCCACATTGTGAAGGGTAATCTGCTCAGCGTCTATTGATTTAAATGTTAATATCATCTCAAATGTAACTTCACAGCAACATCTAGGCTAGCATTTGGGCTAGGCTACCAAACATCTGGGTACCGTGGCCTAGCCAAATTGACATATAAAATTAACCTTCCCCACACTATGGGGTGGAACTGAAAGTCTGATACTTGGGGCGTTGGGCAGGCTGCCTCCAACAGAGGCAAGCCCAGGACCCCAGACCCTGCAGCATGTGGCCTGGCCATTTTACGAGTGAGAAAACCAAGACCTAGAAAAAGGCTCATTGAGTTGGTCCCAGGTCCTAAAGAGCCAGGGTGGAGTCGGGGTGAAAATCCAGCCTCAGTGAACAGTAGTTTCCAGCTCTTTCCACAACACCTGGCTCCCCCGGGGCCTCAACTAGAGACTCACCACAGGGTGTTCCCATCTCACTTCCCGTTGGGAACATGACAACCTGGCTCAGGCACATTCAAACTCTGGGGGCACCATAAACTCTGGAGGAAGAAAATTAACTTATCTCCTGGGGGCACCTTCGCATTCCTGTCCCCAAACTCACGGCCACCGTCTCCCAACACAGAGCTCCCCGCCAGCAGACACACACAGACCCACCCACGAGGGGACTTCTCTTCGAAAAGTGCTTTATTTCGATAAGAGCTAAGTCAGGTGCATTAACACATATCAAAACGTTACAAAAATGTACGGCTCCCTACCGAGGCCTTGTCAAATTATGTTACGATGCCTAAAAGCATCGGTTAATGAGTCCAGAATCAAACATCGAACCAGGTCATGTACCATCACTGAAAAGACAGGTTAGGATTCAGAAAAGAGCACTCCACGAGGCTAAAACGAGTGGGGAAACCCTTAGGAAACACTAGCGATTACACACCAGAAACATCAGCCTGGACAGGTCTGCGACGTGCGGGGAGGACTCCACGGACAGACAGACTCCTCTCCCTTTGTAGCCTGCGCGGCTTTTGTGCTCAGTTAAAACCCTAGGGGAGCTTTAACCTCCCCTTGCAACAAGGTAAAGCTCTCAGTTCCGTCTGAAAGAAAGATGCACCACATGCGTTTATATATATATATATATACCTCTCCAGGACATCCTATCCCGTCCCATCTGACTGAAGCAAGACTTTATGTAAAACAATTTAAGTAGAAACGTGAAACTTTGTGCCGCTGTATCAAGGATGCGTAGGGTGATCTCCTGTCATCCCTCATATCAGCGTTTGGTCACCATGAGGCACTCAAATTCCCCCGTTCACATAGAAATTTCTCTCTTGGAGGTGTAACTAGGACGCCGTGTTCTCCGTGCTACAGAGCTTTGACATAAACGGTGGTTTTTTGGTGTTTCGACGGCGGTGTCGTTTGAGAGAGAGCTGTTGTTTCTTAAAGAGAGTTCCTTGCCCTTCTGTGGCTCATTTCCCTCATTTCCCGTTCGGCTCTCCCGACGCTCCCAAGTAACCACCTGCCTGACAGCACAGAAAAGGATTCCCGTGAAGACATTTTTGTCTGGAGAACCGACTTTTGGGGGGTCATTACAGGCCACTGATAGGATGATAAATGTCTTTATCTGGAGGTTTCTAGGAGAGAGCATTGTTTTCTTTTCCGGGGGGAGGAGAGAAGGGTGAAAATATTTCTCCTTGAAGCATCAGCGTGTCTCAGACCCAAACCTGGACCTCGAGCCTCAGCGTCTTTCTCGCGGATGGGTGGCTGATCTGAGATCCTCTCGCCTCAACATCAACTCGAAGTTGAAGTCCATCCAGCCCGGAGAGGCCTGTGCGCGCTCCCCACCAACACGCCTGGGCGAGCCTACGGTGTGTGCTCTCAGCCCCGCCCCAAGGTGACCCTTCCCAGCTGAGCCCTCCCCTCCCCGCTCATGTGATCGAGGATGTGATCTTGTGCTTAATTCCACCGCCCCAGCCAGATGGGCTCGAGGTTTTCTTTCAATTGATCACCTTGTAATATAAGCCCCAGGTGGGGAAGCCAGATGCAGCTAAACTGCTTTTCCAAAGTTGGGAAGAAAAAAAACCCCACAAAACCCTATAAATTGGCCTTTTGTTCTTTACGCCATTTCAGGTTCATTGCACACAATTACATAAACCCACACAAATCGGTAGAGGAGTTCAAAGCTGCAAGGCCATGTGATACCAGTGAGAAAATCCTACCCAGGCCATGGAGAAATGTCTCTGTTTCAACCGCTGCTACTGCAAAGAACTTTTCCAAAATTTCTGATCAGGTTTTTAGGACTAGAGAAATGATCTCTAGGGCAGGCCAAAATGGAAAAGTGGAAGCGCATTGTGTGAGATGTGATTACTCCTCGCTTCCCTGCCCTGACCAGCCCCTACCCCCCATCTTTGAAAAGCTGAGTCCACCTTAGCATCATTTTCTCAGAAAGTGATCTGGCAAAATGGACGTTTTGCAACATTTCCATATTTAACACTATCACAGTGCTAGTGCAAATTAAAAAGAACTTTTACAAACCAGAGATAGCTATCCAATAAGAGTTAGTAGTTAGTAATTTGCTTTGTGTAAATTCTCCCCTACCCCCAGGCCCTAGGGACAATTATTGGGGCCAACGAAGGCTTTGAACATTCAAAATATAAAGTACTGGAAGAGCTCCTCTCCAAATCATCTTCTCAAATGCAAAACTCAGGAGTTACATTTGCATTCACAAAGCTGCTCTTTCCCATCTGTAACAAAGGGAACCTCTTTGTCTTTTATGCCCAATTCTGTGCATTTTGCAGGAGCCCACTGAGACGTGTGATTGAGACTAAGCCCCTCTGGGTTTCCACTCCGTGCTCTATGGGGCTGGCGGTAGTGTCCCCATGGAGGAGGCAGGCTTGCTGAGAGACCCCCAGCAAAATGCCAGGTGGCAACATGCCATCTTTTTGCAGTCTACAATGAGACTGCAGCTGTGGACCTTCTACAAAGGCCATAGGTATGAGTAGGGGACAAGGGTGCCCAGGGCAGGAACAGCTCTGCTGAAACAGTCCACCTTCCTTTAGAGGCACTGGCCAGTGGCTCTCCTTTCCTCAACTGCCCAGCTCTGCAAACCTTCCTTGGATAGGAGGTGGAGAAGAGAAGGGAGGGTCCCTACCCCAGCAAGGCTCAGAGATGCCGCTGTTAGGAGCTCCTGGTCTTATTCAGTTGATCTCCCTAGCCAGGCACCCAGCTCCCAGCATCTGTCTGTCCCTCCTCAAACTGTATCAGCCACACTGGTGCCCCCAGCTGCCTGGCAATCTTCCCGATGTGGACCACAGCGGACAGACCATCTCTGCCCTTTCCCCTCCTTAGGGTTGGTTCTCAAGATCACCTGCGGCAAGGCTGCTCAGAGAAGCCAAAAAAGACGTTCTGTCCTCCCTCTGCACCTTCACCTAAAGAGCTTCCCTGAGCCCCAGCCTTGATCAGTAGCAGGATGAGTCCTCACTCTTGGAGTCCATCTCCACGCACCAGATTTGGCAACTTGCAAGAACCCAAGAGGCTGGAAAGAATAAAGCCTCAACTTCAAACACACAGCCCTAGTCCAAGTGCAGGAAAACCCCTGTGATGATACAGAGACGGACTGGGCTCAAGGCACCTGTCCTCTCTGCTGGCAGCCACTGCCCTTCGGCACGAAGGAGAGACCACAGAAGCTTCCTGGCCACCACACCAGAAGGAGCCATGCTCTGGCCACACTCGCTGGGCACCATCATGTCCACACTTGGCAAGATCTTTGTTTCATGAGAACTTTCCCTCGGCTTGAGGGAGCAGCAGAGAGCTGTGCCAGCAGCTTGGCATGCAGAGAGACACGCAGGCTGCCCTCTGTCTCCTAGAGGTGGCCATGGAGGAGGGACAGAGGGAGAATCCGTTCTTTACAGGGGTCCACACAGAACAGCACATACCTCTTTGTTATTCAAAATAATCAAAGTTTCCAGTGTAAAAACTTGTGCGCTTATTGCATCTACCCCACTGATGGGTTATCTTTTTCTTTCCATCAGACTTGCCCTAAGGGTATTGGGGCTGTTATTTTGTTAATTTCCAAGGGTCTCACATTCACTGATCCTTCTGGGCATATGGGGAGAATTTAAACTAACATATAAATATCCCAAATGGTAAGATTGGAGAACCCTCTGCCCCTTCTAAATATCTGTGGCTGCTCCGTGGCACTTGAGGTTTTCTTTGACTTAAAACCCTTCAGATCAGCATCTCCTCTGATTTTCCTGCCCATGGGCAGCACTTCTGCCGGCCCCATGGCACTTGTGCTGGTTGCTTGGAATTTAATTACATGTGAAAATGTCAGGTAGGCACATAGACACGTATTGCCTGCATGTTGCACGCAAGTGTAAAAACACACACACACATTTGGGGTCCTCCTTAAATCAAAAGTCCTTGTGAGTGAATGAAAGGAGAGCAGGGATTCAGGGATGGGGAGCTGTCTGCTGACATCTTAATCCTGCTCCAGGTAGCAAACGGTGGCTTGTCCAGAGCTGGAGGGGTTTACATTTCAACGTTCCCATGTAAAGAAGGCGCCCAGCCTCCTGTGGGTCTGCTCATGTCAGTGGTGGCTCCGGGGTGTCTGGATCCCCTCACTCCTGGGGCTCAGATTGTTGCGGGAGTCTCTGCTATCTCCTCCAGCCTCTGCCGAATCATCAGCCGCAGCACAGTGTACCTGGGGACAAGAAACAGGCCCCAGTGGAGAGCAGGCAGCAACTGCCCTCCTCATGGCCTTCCTGGCCACCCAGCTGACACCAAGGTGACTCCAGGTAACAGCAGGTAACGGTGTGGGCCAAGTGTCCTCCCCTGTACTTCCATTTTTGGCCGGCTCTTTAGCCACTGTATTGCTTATGTTCATTTTCACAACAGGATGAGAGGGGAGAAAGAGGCCAAGTCCAAATTAGACTATTTCACTATGGTTAGAACATCTGGCAAAAGGAGGATAAAAAGGTAACAATAACAACAATAATAAGCATTCCATTAACTGAGTGTATACTATGCCCAAGACACTACATATAAGACTTTCTATACACAGTAGATCATTGACCCTCACCTAGGCTGGATTATATGAAATTGCCAATATTTTATCTTTTTGGAGGACCTACAAAAATGGCAACTGCACATGCTTCAACCCTATAGTAGAACCTGCATCTTACACAAGAGGCCATAGCAATGACTGGGCATGGAGGTCCATGGCTTAGCAATGACTGGGCATGGAAGTCCATGGCTCATGGGTGAGTTCAGTTTTCCCTGAGTCGTAGCGCCATAGCCACTGGAGTGGGCACTGTCGTTCAGGGCTACATGGGCATATTCCTTATGCTCAGGGCTACATGGGCATATTCCTTATGCTCAGGGCTACATGGGCATATTCCTTATGCTCAGGGCTTTCCACTGCACAACAAAAGCTATTGTTAAACTTTAGGGCATAGTAAGTGTTCAATAAAAGTTAACTGATAATATTCTAGTTATTACCATTGATACAGAAAATATAGCATTGGCTTAATTCTCCAGTGACAAAAATCAATCACTTTTTCTACTGTATCTGTGAGATGCAGTTTACTCTATGACTAAACATGGCAAAGAAATCATGAAATCCTCTCCAGCAGGAGTCCTCAAACTTTTTAAACAGGGGGCCAGCTCACTGTGCCTCAGACCGCTGGAGGGCCAGACTATAGTTTAAAAAAAACTATGAACAAATTCTTATGCACACTGCACATATCTTATTTTGAAGTAAAAAAACAAATGGGCAGGCCGGGCATGGTGGCTCACGCCTGTAGTCCTAGCTATCTGGGAGACCGAGGCGGGCGGATTGCTCGAGTTAAGGAGTTCGAAACCAGCCTGAGCAAGAGCGAGACCCCGTCTCTACTATAAATGGAAAGAAATTAATGGGCCAACTTTAATACATACAAAAAATTAGCCGGGCATGGTGGCGCATGCCTGTAGTCCCAGCTACTCGGGAGGCTGAGGCAGGAGGATCGCTTGAGCCCAGGAGTTTGAGGTTGCTGTGAGCTAGGCTGATGCCACGGCACTCTAGCCTGGGCAACAAAGTGAGACTCTGTCTCAAAAAAAAAAAAAAAAAAAAAAAAAACAAATGGGCAAAAACACCCACATGTGGCCCGCAGGCCATAGTTTGAAGACGCCTGCTCTCCAGAAAGAAGCTTTACTGGATTTTTCAATCCAAATGAAATTTTCAGAAAAGCAATGTTTAAAATGGAGGAAGGGTGGGAAGAAAGGATTTTTGAGGTAGGCAGCTCAGATTACCTCCACTAAGACAACTTTCCTGGAATCCCAGAGCCTCTGGGTCTTGGTTAGCACTCCTTGCCCTCAACCAAAGGCAGGCAAGGGGTGTGACACTATCTAGCCCCGGGGCCGCACTTTCCCTTCAGGTTACCCCAGACTCTGCCCAAGCCTCTGTAAATAATCCCTTCATCAAACGCCCCTCAAAGCCCCTCCCTGGAGTGCGCATCTGTGTCCTGCTGGGAGCCTGGTCATACACTTTGGAAACAAGAACAAAGCCACCTCCCCCATTTCTGAACCTAGACCCCAAAGAAATTCGAAACCAACACCTTCTTTTCAGGGTCCTTCCATAGAAGGGGGGACAAAAGACATTTTGACATTCCACATCGAAATGAGAAGCTGACATGAGAAGCAGAGAGACGAACACACTTAAGTTTCATGTCCCCCATCTGAGGTCCAGATTTGTCAGCGGGCAGCCCCCCAAAGAAAGCCCATGAGACCCAGGCCCACGCAGCAGCTCGGCACAGTCCCTGCGAGGCACCTGAACAGAGAGGTCCCTCTGGTTGAGGCGCAGGGGAAGCCCACCCAGCACCCCGAGGCCACACCCACTTGCGCATCAGCTTCTTGACTTCCCGATCTTCTTCCTCTTGGAGCTTCTGAATGAAGCTTTTAAGAACAGGCATCTCAAACTTTATATACTGGGCCACCTGGGGAGAAAAAAAGTAAGTTCTGGGATGCATGCCCCTCCCAGTCTTATTCCAATTCCTTCTGGCATCACTCGCTTGCAAGGCACAAAGCCTTAGGAGATCTATGTTTCCACTAACTCAGGATTTCTTTAAAAGTGGGGACCAAGCCTCATTCTTCTCAAAGCTGGTAGAGAGTCTGCAGTGAAGATCGCTTCGTGTACATGACACCACCCCCTAGCTTCTCATTTTTCATCTCATGTATCCAGTCCATGATGGGGAGGTGTCAAACACGGAAAAGCACTTTCTCTTGATACATCAATGTAGAGAAAGAACTGATCCCATGATATTTAACAAACCTCTTTGTTCTCCACTAAGAGCATTTAAGAAACCATGGTGCAGAGGGACGAGTTGGGTCTCAAGGCTCAAACAGGCATCCAAATGTGAACTTGCTTCAGGGAGGCTATGAATGGCTCCCAGGTGAGTTAAAGTTTAAAATCAGCTACCTCTCCTCCACCACAATCCACCCCACCTCTTCTATCAACCCTCCTCCACGGGAGAAGTGTATTTCTCTACCCTGTGAAAATTGAACTCAGCTATGGGACTTGCTTTGGACAATGGAATGTGTGTGGACATGACATACGCCCCATCTGAGTGGAGGTTTCAAGTGCACTCTGTGGTTTGGCATGGTTTCTTGTGCTCCATGGTCCCCCAGGAGGAGCATATACAGGAGGAGGAGTATGCCCTAGAGTCTGAGCCTCTGAATGAGATACACATTGCAGACTGAACTTAACCCACAGCCTAGAGCAGAGCCCCTGCTACCAGCCTACAGAATCATAAGCAAAAAAGTAAATGTCTGCTGTTTGTAAGCTACTGAGATTTGGGGATGTTTGTTACTGCAACAAAAGCTGACTAATACACTGCTAACTTCTCAATGTTGCTAAGGGAGTGTCCACAGAAACTTCTCAGGCCTCTTATAGTACCCTAGATACCCTAGAAAGGCTCAAGAAATTTATTCCTTCCATAGAAATCACTTTCTGCCTGAGAATTCCTCCAACAACTCCCACAGGGCACACCCTTAACCTGCCTTCACGAATACCTGGTATTGATCAATGGCAGTGAAAGGGGACACGGTCCTTGGTCAAAAAGTCATGCTATACCCCAGTTGCAGGTAACATCACCAAATCCCCCTACTCCTGAAGGCAGACCACCCAAGCAAAAGGGTACTCACGTCATAGGTGACTTCCTCCACCTGGTCCTTCTCCATAAGGAACACTTTGGAGACCTGCTCACATGGGCCCTGGAGAATTCGGGCAATCAGGGGGTAATCGGTGGTCTTTAGCTTCTGTTTCTCTGGAACCAAACACAACCAGAAGCAGGCCTGAGTTTCGCTAGAGGCCTTTCTCATCCTGAGTAGTGGTCAACTCAGGGGCCCAAAGGGACAAGCAACTTAGGAGACTGATTTGTAAATGGACTACTCAACGGGTGTTGTTAAACACAACCTCCTCCCACTCCCCTGCCCCCAACAATACTATGGTGCTTCAAACCCTTCAGAGGAATTGGGTTTATCTGTCTCTTGAGAAGATCTAGTTCCTTTTTTAATAGGCAGATAGGTTTCAGAGTTTGTTTACTGACCATATATGGCATTCCCAGTGGATTCATCCAGCAAGCCCATCAGCCTTGGAGGCAAACAACATTTGGAAGTTTCCAAAACCCAAACAACGGGCAAAGCAGAGGTATTTTTTTTTAACCTGCTATTTTGAGTTAATTGGGAGTTTTAAAGTACACTGTGGTCGTCAGACTTACCACCACTGGTATGGACCACGTACAAAGCAAACTCCTCTGCCGAATTCTCAATCTGAATCAGGAGCAAAAGGTACTAGTTGAAAGCACATATTTAAACACTCTCACTTTGAGCTTTTCCCCCTTCTTTGACACTGTGAAGCTGAATAGATTTTAGGCTCTGTTGAAGGGAAAGCGATATATCAACAGCTCTGGGAAGTGATGAGGAGATGAGACGGGTGGATAACTTTATCAATAATACAGCCATGCGTCACTTAACGACAGGAAGACGTTCTGAGAAATTTGTTAGGTGATTTCGTTGTGTGAACGTCCTAGAGTGTACTTACATAAACCCAGATGGTACAACCTACTGCTCCTAGGCTACAAGCTTACACAACAGGTTACTGTACTGAATACTGCAGGCAATCGTAACACAATGGCAAGTATTTGTGTATTTAAACATATTAGACATAGAAAAGATATAGTAAAAATATGGTATTATAATCTTACGGGATCACCATCACATATTCAGTTCATCATTGACTAGAACATTGTTGTTCAATGTGTGGCTATGACAGATAAAAATAGCTAAAATTTATTGCAATGTGCCAGGCCTAGTTCTATACATTTCACATGTTCTAACTGAGCCAACACTCATGACAACACCATGTCAAGGTACCATTGTCCTCATTTTACGAATAAGGAAGCAGAAGCAGAGGCAGGTTAAGTGACTTGTCCAATTCATTCAACGAGCAGGTGACAGGTGGGGATTGGAACCCAGAGACCGTGCTCTGAGGCCACTAGGTTACACTGGCTTCCAGTAAAAATAAGATTACCTGGTCTCCAAAAGAATTATAAGGATGTTTCAGAAAACACAGAGTAACAGGACTTTAAAAGCATTCATGCACCGTAATTTGCACATCTATTTAAGTATCATTTTTCAAAGTAGGTTCCCCAACTGTGTCCTAGAAGTCAATCTGTGGGTGAGCCCAAAACCAGTCAGCAGGTCCCAGGGCCCTTCCATAGAGGCCCATAAAGGACCCGAGGGCTGATGCCTCTCAAACTTCAGCAGGCACCAGGATCCCCCGGGGGCCTCGTGGAGCAGGTGCCCTGGCCTCACCCTCGGGCTTTCCAACAAGCTCGCAGGTGATGCTGGCGCTGTGGACCTTCCTTGAACAGTGAGAGTCTAAAGAACCCAAACCCACTGCCCAGTGCCCCCTAAACCATACACTCTCCACAGCTCCCCCACTCCCCCTCTAAGGGTCCCCAAAGCACATGTGTGACCCTATCTGGGGCCAGCCAGCAAAGGGGACTTGCCTTGAATTTGTTGAGCAGCAGCTTCAGGACCTGCGGGGTGGTCATGGTGCTGTTGATGCGGACGTTGGTGACGGAGCCATAGGCCGGCGTGAACACCGACGTCTGTCAATAGACGGGTCCGGCTCAGGGTGGACAAGGACAAAATACTAAAACCCACATGCAGTACAGGGCACGGCGACATTGGTGCTCAAAAATGGTACTGAAATGTACTCTCGGAAAGCCCCCTGGCCGCCTGGCGAGCAGCAGGCGTTACAGACAAAGCAGCCCTGGGGTTCGCCTAATTCAGTCCCTGCTCTTGCAGGTAGCTCAAGTCTGAGCTCGCCAAATGGCAGGATTGGGGAGGGGAGCCCAGACTCCATAAGTGAGGTCCTCTCCAAATAAAACACTCACAAAGACCCTTCCACTGGGACTTCTACCCGGGGAGGTCTCTGACCACTCTCCCACCACACACTTGCCTCTGCGCGTAAGATGTGATCCAAGCAGCAGGAGGGGAAGGAGGTGTCAGCTAACTTGGGGTGGGGTGGGTGGTGCACTGGCACCCCCAGATCTGAGGCTGCAGCTCTGCTTCAGAGGCAGCCCTTAGCTCAGGGGCATGTCACACCGTGCACACCCGCCAGCAGGCACAGGGTGCAGGAAGAACGGAACACCTAGATTGACCTGGGAGGGATTAAAGAGGTGTGTTTGTGGGGTCTTCAAGGCTACAGCAGGGGCTGCTTCATACGGCCCCCTGAATTCACCCACCACCCTAGGAGGTCTCAGAGCATGACTAGGCCCACTCATCCTTCAGGAAGCCAGCAGAGCTTGCAGCCCACCTGCCACTCAAAGCCTAAGCAGCACCACTTGGCTTCCCAGGGGTCCCACCTTGCACCATGTGGCTATAGCCCTGAGGTGGCAACTGCCCAGCAAGGGGACTTGCCCGCCTCTCCCAGCCCCTGTCCACTCTACCTTATGGTTGTAGTAATGGCCGTTGATGGAGAAGCGGTGGCGTCTGATTCGCCGCTGATCGCTCGGTGTCCTCACGTTGCCCCGGCGACGCACGCCAACATCACTGCGTGTGCGCATCAGCTGTGGGGTGTCTTCCTGCAGGGGCTTCAGACCCCTGGCGTCTGAGAGGAAAGAGGAAAACGAGCTGTCTGTCTGGACCCTGGACAGCTAGCACACGGTTCCCTCTTTGTGGTCAACGCTACAGCACCCACTGCCTCAAAATATATAGATTTTATAAAAATAGTATATTCTGCTGGAGGAAAAACATAATGCATAGTTGACTGAGAAGTTATGCAGTGAAAAGGTTCAGAGCATAGACTCTGAGCCAGACTGCCTGGGTTCAAATCCCAGCTCCCCTATTGAATTATATCACTAACCTCCCTATGCCTCGTTTTTTTCATCTGTAAAATGGGGGTGATGATAACACCCGCCTCATGGGATTGTTGTGAGGGTTTAAGTGAGTTAATATACATAAAGCACTTAGAACAGTGTCTGTCACAGGATAAGCACAATATCAGGGCTTGCAAGATACTGCAAACCAATTCTGACACATTACAACATGGATGAACCTTTTGGACATTATGCCAAGTGAAATATGCCAGTCACAAAAGACAAATACTGAATGACTCCACTTATATGAGGTACTTAGAGTAGTCAAAATCATAAGAGACAGAGAGGAGAATGCTGGTAGCCAGCAGCTGGGGGGAAGGAAAATGGGGAGTCATTGTCTAACAGATACAGAGGTTCAGTTTTACAAGACGAGAAGATTCTAGAGACAGACGGTGGTGATGGTTGCACAACATTATGAATGTATGTAATACCATTGCACTGCACACTAAAGAATGGTTAAGAAGGTAAATTTTATGTTACGTGTATTTTACCACAATAACAAATTGGAAATAAAATGCTTAATAGGACACATAAAGATAAACAAATATAATATGACATATTTCTGTCCTTGTGTGTCCAAATATAAAATATTGACATCAACCAAATAGTGAAGCACAAGTAGGTTAATCTGTTTTATTAAAATTGTTTTAATCTATGTTATGTTAAAAAAAGATATTGCAAATTGATAGTATCTATCAAAATTACAAATGCACACAACCTTGAACCCAGAAATTCCACTTGAAAGAATCCTACAGACACACTGACAAATACACAAAATAACACGTGTATAAGGCTACCCACTACAAGCTTGTTTGTCACAGCAGAGACTGAACATGACTTAATTATCTATCAGTAGGGTATGATTACATAAATTATCATTTTTCCATAGAATGGAATGATGCAGTGCTGTAAAGAAGGAGGAAGTTCTTTACAGATTTGTATAGAATAATCCCTGAGATAAACTGATAAATGAAAGAAACCATGTGCAAAATGTTACCACTTACATATTAATAAAAATGAGAAAAAAAGAAATTACATCCAACCCTAAAGGTATGTTGGTGTGCATTTGCTTACGTGTGCGTGGAATACCCCAGGGAGGATGTTCTTGGTTGGCTTCTATGTGGGCAGATGAGGTGGGTAAATTTTAATTCTTTCTTTGTAATAACTTTAGTTTTTCTCTCTCTCTCTCTTTTTTTTTTTGAGACAGAGTCTTACTCCCCCCATAGAGTGCAGTGGCGTTATCACAATTCCCTGCAACCTCAAACTCCTGGGCTCAAGTGATCCTCCTGCCTCAGCCTCCTGAGTAGCTGGCACTACAGGTGCATACCATTAAGCCCAGATAATTTGCTTATTTTTAGTAGAGATGGGGTCTCGCTTTTGCTCCGGCTGGTTTCAAACTCCTGAGCTCAAGCAATCCTCCTCCCTTGGCATCCCAGAGTGCTAGGATTGCAGGCGTGAGCCCCTGCACCCAGCCTAGAATCCTAAACCATATAAATTTTATATTTTCAAAAATAAATATCTGTTTATGACAGCTATCACGGCAGTCTTCACGCAGTTGGCCCCTAACCCGAAGCTCCTTCTACGATGCATGTACCTGTGGGACTTAGCGTCTGGTCACTCTCGGTCGGAGCGTCCACCTCTGAGATCTGAATGCTGGGCGTGGTGAGGGGCTTCAGGATGGTGCTGTGGGGGGAGGCGAGCAGACACAAAGAAAAGGGAGACTGGTTTAGCCCCTTCAGGGAGATGCCCCCACTCCCACCCCAACCCACCCCACCCCACTCCTGCAAGGGGAGCACTTTGCTTGTGCCGGGCTGGGTACCAGCACCCACCAGGCGAGGAAGGGTGCACGTGGGCTGCCCTGAGCATCCCACCAGGCTGGCCCAGCTCCCAGGCTGAGCGGCGGCTGGGGAGGGGGCAGCTCTGGAGAGAGGTTCTTTCCCAGCATCTGCAGCAACACAAGCACCCAATTCATCAAGCCCAGGATGAAGAACACCAAAGAACAAAACCCGTGTGTTGCCGTACTGAGTTTCTAAGCACATATGGGCTATCTGGAAAACCCTAATAATGGCTGTTTGTTTTGTAGGACAGGATTCCAGTTCAGATCCAACTCTGTTGAAGGAATAACTCATACATTGCTTCTGCCATCTGAAGGGAATGAAAGGTAATATTTGATGGCTACAAGGGTCGGGGCAGCTTTGGAAGGGGCACTGACGACAGTGTTCTCAGGGTTACAGAGACCTCTGCCAAGCTGGAGAAAGGGCCACAAGTAGACAGTCCAAGCTAAGGCCTGGGCTTGCTGTGATAACTGGCCAATAACTTCTCAAGGTGAAAAGGAACTATGGGAGTAGCATAGAGAGAAACATCCAAAAATCAACAGAGGATTCGGTAGTAAAGTTGAATCATATTTGACCAGTTAGGACCATCCCATGGTGAGAAGAGGATGGTCTCCCTGGGACCCAGTAGAGACAGGCTTCATTTTCCAGGGATGGTAGTTTTTAGAAAAGACAACTACAATTGGAAATCTGAAAGAACTTCCTATTGTGATAGAACTCACAGATTTCCGAGCTACAGAATGGATCTGGTCAGAGCCTCTCCGGATGGAATGTAATAGGAATGGAATGGAATGGGCTGGGGCTCAGGGCTGGGCTGTGAAAAGCGTTTGGCCCATTGGAAATCCAATACAGGGATGGTGCCAAATCAAAGCAGAGCGTGACTCCAGCGAAGTTAGATGAAACCAAAGAACCTTGACCAGACGTCCCAGCACCCAATGGGATGGGCAACACCTTTCCTCCTTAAATTCTCTTGGAAAGAAACCAGATCAGCTCTAGGGTTTGGCCACATTATAGGCTACTCTCGATTGTACAGAAAGATAGATTTGGCTGTGGAGTAGAACAAAACGTTCAATGTGGCCAAGAGAGAGGGCTTGGTTCTCATTTACACCAGAAATAACATCACTGTGGTTTTGGCTGGGAGGCCAGCACGCTCCACCCAGGCTCTGGCCTGAAGGCCGTCAGCGTCAGCAAGTTCCAGGACGGGACGAGGCTAGTCACTTGATCCCGAAAACTGAAGACCCAGAAAGACAATAAAAGGGTGTGCCGAAGGGCTACTCATTTGGCCGTGGAGGATGGGGAGGAACAGGCTAGGTTCACAGACCTTCCAGTGGGGACCCAGAGGAGGGGGCTCAGACTGCTGGCCATCACCTGGTGACTTGCTCCAGGTGTGGTCTGAAGAGAGCAGCATCCTGGCTGGCCTCACCGGCTGGCTCAGACAGGTCTGACAGTCCTTCTCCCTTGCAGGTTCCCTGAGACTCAGAGTGCCTTGGTCAGAAGGCTCAAGTCCTAAATGTCTCTGGAGCAGGGCCCTTCTATAAGAAGCAAGCTCAGCAGGGAGGATGCAGGGGCCCTGGGCGTCCGGTCAGAAATCTGCAGGCTGGGCCTCGCCAGCCACTAGCAACACCGCTCAGAGACTCCAGAATTCTCCACAAGGGAGGGCACGCTATCACCCCGGCCTTGGCATGGGGCTCCTGCTCTGACTCAGCAGCTCCTCTCCTCCCCATGACCTCACTCAGTGATTGTGGTGACAGGACAGAGGCCCCATCACATCAATGTCTGCCCCTCTCTCCTCATCCCAAGCCCAAAGCGGAGATGAGGCAGTGGAAGAGGTGGGACAGGAGCCAGGATGAAGGCTGGCTGGGACAAGGTGGCCTTGACCTGCTGAGAATACAAAGAGTCCCCAGGCACGCCCATCTCCAAGCCCCATCTTGCCTCACTCACCCCTGGGCCCCCAAGTTGCAGCCGGAGTGCCAGGAGGAAGAGGACGGAGGCGGGCGGATGCGCTCGTGGTCATCCTGCATCTGCAGACGAATGGGCCGGCGCAGGCCCCAGGAGATGTTCAGCAGTCCCTCCACGATGAACTCGTCTTCTTCCTGCCCACAGAGCAATCGCACAGTGAGCCCAGAAAAGTCCCACAGGAGCCAGGACCACGCTGGGGCACAAATGGCAGCATCCTTCATGTGTCCTTGCTGGGTGTACCCAGATTGAATTCACAGGATGGGGGCGGCGGCCCTGTCCACACCCCAGCTCCGAGACACTCTCTGCTGCAAACTACCCCAGACCTGGAGGCTGACCTCACAGGTCAGCATGAAAGTTGCCGTGAGATTCAAACATACATGTGCAAATTATAAAACTCTTTTTTGCTTTGGTACTAATGACTTTGTATTAAAGGCAAGCACGAAAATGAGGCTATTGAGGAAAGATAGGGCGACAGAGCAAGAGCAAGATATAGGTTTACAGAGCATGATACATACGCTCTGGGGCCCATTGTCATCAGCAAAGGGAGAGCAAAAGGAAGAGCCAAAAAAAAAGTACTAATGACTTTTAAAGACATCAGAATACATCTCTTAAAATAAATGAGACTAGTTTTGCTAACAGAAGCAAGAATTGAATTCTTGAGTTAGCTACCCCCCCCCTACTGTGGGAAATGGTGTTTTTAGCTAAAACACATGTTTAGCAATGTGACCTGCTAGATCAGGGCTCCCCAACCTATGGTGAGTTGGATAATTATTTCATTATATATTACAACGTAATACTAATGGAAATACAGTACACAATACATGTTATGTGCTTGAATCATCCAGAAACTATCCCCACCTTCCCCAGTTCATGGAAATATTGTCTTCCATGAAAACAGTCCCTGGTGCCAAAAAGGTTGGGCTGGAGACCGCTGCCCTAGATGAAGGAGATTTAAAACAACATTTCTTCGGGTTCATTCTCTGCCTGATGAACTGTTGCCTTAAAAAGAATATCAAGTGATTGCGAGCTGGGAGAGGCTGTGTTAATCATATTTCCTAACAGCAGAATGTCCCAGAGCCTATAATAAGCTAATGTGCTACATGACAACTCTTTAAGAGGTGAATAAATCCTGCAGGAGTTGCCAGTTTATATACTCCAAGGTTGCTGACTAATAAGCCAAATGTAAAACCCATCCAAGGGCATTTTTATGTTCTGTCCCAAAGAACTGGATCTCATTTATGACCACGACGCCCTTTAACCATGGAGTACTTTGAGGATTTATTCTATAGCACAGACCCCAGGAAAGCTATTTCAGAACCAAAATCTTGCTCATGGCCCAGCCACTCATTAGCAGAAGCTCTGAGGACAATGCCTAAAGGAGTCAGGCCGTCCTTCCCCAGTCTCAGAACAACCTTTCTGAACCCATGTTTTACAGGCAGGGCCCAAAAGTGTCTGACTTGGGTCATGGCCACATCTTCAGGACAAGCGTCATAGGTGAAAATGACATCTGCCCCATGAGCAACTAACCCGGGCCATGCCTTAGAGAGGGAAGGGGACATAGAAGAAGGTAGGAGAGGGATGGAACAACATCAGGGAATTTGGGGATTTGGGGGAGAAAGGCCTTATGTATGCATAGCTATATACATATGGCCTCCCAGCTGGTCTAAGTGGGTATCATTACTTAACATTACACAATTGTAGGACAGAGTTTAACCCGAAACAGGACTTTGCCTAAGTGAAGTGGTTTGAGAGACACAGAAAAGGCCACTGCATCCACATACTGTCCCCAAACAGGCTGCCTTCGTAGCTGAAATTCCATCAGCTGCTATCTGTTTCTATGGATTAAATCACCATGGTTTGCTGACCTGAAAATGTGTTTCGAAGGGTATGACACATATGTACCTTCTTATCAGTCAAGAACACTTGAGTATAAATTACTCTATCAGACTCCTTTATAACTCATCTTCTATCTGATAACAGGCTTTACAGAAATGGATACAGGATGAGTAAGCTCAGACTCAGGCTGGGGGTGGGGAACGTCAGATGGATAACAAAGGGCATCTCAGGAAGGCAGCCGAGAAAACGCGCTGCAGTGGTGGGGAAAAGCCAACCACTCAGAGCTGTGTGACTCGCCCAGGTCCCTGCAGCGAACTGGGCTCAGACGTGTAAACCTAGAGGACTGGGTTAAGGTTCCTAAATTGCCCAACAACAGGAAGCCTGCTTGGGAGCCCTCTGAAAGAGTGATTTCAGGAAAGCTTCTCTCTGAAAAATCTCCCCTCTGAAGCCGTGTTAGCCCAGCCACACACACGCAGGAACGGAACAGAAAATCTCATCCTTCTTAGAACAAAACTGGGCCTGGGGTCTCCTTCCAAAAAGCCCCAAGGACTCTGGAAGTTCTTTGGAAGGAGCACCCTAAATGAGAGGCCACTCTCTGTGGCAGGAGAGTGTGACCTCTTGGGACCTCAGGAACCCTTAGACCGAGGACACACGTTGACAAAGACGGGCCAGGACAGGAGACTCACAGGCCTTCCCCGCAGACCCCTACCTCTCGGTGCCGGAGCTGCAAATTCTGGCCTTCGTAGTACAGATTGTAGGTCTTCAGATGCAAGAGAAGTTCATTCCTTAGCGGAAAAAGACACAAGCGGTGTAACATTTTCAGCCGAAGCCACAGAGAATGCAGTTGTTCCCTCTCTATCTCACCTCTCACCTGGTCTTCAGTCGCCCCGCTTCGTCCACATGCGTGTACCCCCCACACGCAGGCACACTGCCACCCCATCGCCATGCTCCCCAGAATCAAGGTCAAGAGTAAACATCCCCTCGGAGCAGGCTGAAGGCAAGGGGCAACTCCAGAACACCCTGCAAAACCACTCACACCCGAATACTCAGGTGTGAATAAGCCACAGATTCACAGAGACAAACACACTTCGAAGCCCACAGACACGGTTTCTCCTGCCCCTGCCGGCCCTTCCCTCCGCAAGCACGCTGAGCAAGGAGAGAACAATAACTGCAGGCCTTCTCGAGACCCAGAAAATTCCAAGCTTTTTAGCAGATTAAAACAAACAGGGCTGGGCCTCACTGACTTATGCTTCATAGACGCGATCTTATCATGTGTTTAAAGACTTACAAACTCCCAGCAACAGTGGAATACACAAATCTAGTTTTACCTAAAAGTGCGTGCTATTGCACTCCATGAGCGATGAGAGGGGAGAGAGGTGGAGGGGGCTGCTGTGTGCTTTTGCCTATTCTCAGGCAAGAGGTGACAGAGTTCAGTCCCCCTAAACACAGCCGTGCAATGCAGAGGTATTTGGACCACATCAGAAGTCAAAACCTGCTGGAAATTCCAAGAAACTCCTGACCAGTTAAACCTAGATAAACTGGACTCATTCTATGCCAGCTGAAATGAATTAGTGAAAAATGCGATTCCAAGCAACCTAAAACAAAAAGCTATTTGGCACTTTTGAACACACAGGTCTGAAGCCAGGATTTACAATTTCTGGTCAGTAGAAAGGCCCTGGGGAAATCTTTCAATAAACAGATAAGAATGATCGGATCTCACACAACTGGTGTCTGTGTATGACCGAGTGTGTCTACGGACTTAAAGCACTTTGGTCTCAGATCAATTAAACGCTTAATTAAGATATAGAGAGCATCCAGTATGTAAAATCCCTGCACTTGGACATAAAAATATACCCTCAAACTTATAGTTCGAAAAAGTCCATTTCGGCACAGCCTGTCACATTAGCAAAAAGGCTGAGTTCAAGAGACTTTAGTGCATAGAAAGCAATGAAACTGTCCCCTTCTATTCAGAGGGCACCTGTGCCAGTTGTAGCCAGAACCACAGCAGCCCAGGGAGACATTACCCCAGCCAGGAGCCCCCTGGGGAACACCCCAGACAGGACAGTGAGCAGTGTCTTAGTGCATTTAGGCTGCGATACCATAGACTGGGTGGCTTATAAGCAACAGAGATTCATTGCTCATGGCTCTGGTGGATGGGAAGTCCAAGATCAAGGTAGATTCCGTATCTGGTGAGAGCCCTGTCCTCACAGTGAGCGCCTGCTCACTGCATGCTCACATGTTGGAAGGGCAGACAAGTGCCCTCGGCCTCTGGTATAAGGGCACTCAGATCTAATCATCCCCCAAAGGCCCCACCTCTAAATGCCAGCACCTTGGGAGTAGGTTTCAGCATATGAATTTGGGAGAGGACACAAACATTCAGACCATAGCAAACAGCCACTAGCCAACTCCTCTCCCGGAAGCCTTCTAGGTCACCACTTCTCTCCAGCCCCAGAAGGTCCCATGTCTTGACCCCCCTTTACTTCAACCTCCAGGCTGGGGGGGGGGCATGTCCTTATCTAGGGCGGCAGCCTTGCTGATGCTCTCTCGAAGTCCAAGTTCAGCTGCTCTGCTCCTTCTCCCATACAGAGGCCCCTCTGCCAGCGGCTGCCATCCACCCACAGCGTCCCAGCAGAGGATTGGCCACTGGGGACAGAGCACTGCAGCAAAACAGCTTACTTGGAAATGTATTTATCTTGTCCACAGGGGACCAGGGAAGTTTGGTGGCTGTAGTCCATTCTTCCTTTCTCTTTTCATCAGAAGGAGAGGCCTGTATTTGAAAGGAGAAGACAGAGGTTAATGTCAGGCTGTGTTCTTGGAAACTCAGCAGGACTTGGGCAGCAGGGAGGGTGGGGTGGGGCATGGGAGTGGAGGACATGAATTGGATGACACGGCTTTTGTTCCCCCCAGCTGCACACAGCTCTAACACTGGCCTAGGATGAGTGAGATGCCACACCGCTGGCTGCTGCCTCTGCTTGCCACGGCCTCTGGGGAAAACCCCCAAAGGAAAGACGACAACCCTTTACAGTCTGAGAACAAATGCCCCAGAGAACGCTGACACTCAAGTTGATTTCAAGGACGAGCAATGAGTCCTCCTCTCTGAAGGGACCTTCACAAGA